TAGTCAAACTGATATTAGATAAGTAAAATCAACATTTTGAATTGATATAGAGTTGAAACACTTCAATTAGATACATTGTATGCATCATAAAATGAAAATTTTGTATTGACATATTTTCAACGAAAACAAAGTTTAAGTATCAAAGTCATTTTTTAATCGAAATGAAGAACCTTTCGATTTTGTTTTTCGAATGCAAACTTCTGCATAGTTGGGGGTGGGGGTTGAAAGTTTCAATATCTGGCCAAGAATCTTCCTTTGCTTATGAAATGATAGATTGGAATAAAGAGGTACAAAAGCCCAGTTTGAAAAGGTTAAATCACTGCCATATTTTCATCAGTTGTTATTGCTTTTACAATGGTCTTTGTAATATCAATAAATAACCTCATAATAGATTCCAGGATTAAAATTTTGTGCGCAAAGACATTTTGTAGTCTTATATCTACATGAGACTCATTAGTAAAAAAAAGTTAAAAAGGACAAATAAAGTACAAAGTTGAAGAAAATTGAGGACTTAAAACTCTAAAAGGTTATGCCAAATACGGCTAAGGTAATCTATCAAGGGTAGAAAAATCCTTAGCATTTCGAAGAATCGCAAAGTTTTGTTAACAGTTAATTCATGATTATGGCCATGTCAAAGATGATTCATGTCAGCAAAGAAATGCTGACTACTGGGTTGATGGAAACGAAACCTCCACCAGCAGCGTCATCGATCCAGTGTATGTAAATAAGCTCCTCATAGATCAACTCTGAAAGGACAACATCATAGTTGTTTTAAGGTAATGAATGCACGGTTTGTCATTGGACGAGATTGAAAGTCACGGTGCATTCACAGGTTATATTTCCAGAAATTTAGAAGACGCCATTCGTGTTTGCAGTGGAAAAGAGATAACTGTATCGTAAATAAACCAGCTACTCTTTTCACAAAAATACTTACGAGTAAAAACACACTACGATCAATTTTAATCTTAAGTTTTTTGTGAAATTGTCGAAGCCCGTTTGGTTTATTCGTTTGAATTGGTTTTTTTTGTCATGTCTCGATCGGGACATTTTATAGCTTGATATGCGGTATGGGTTTTGCTCATTGTTGAAGGCCGTATGGTTGCTTATAATTGCTAATATCTACGTTATTTGGTCTCTGTGAGTGGAAATCCACATTTCCTTATTTTTACATTGTACGCCCACCTACTGTTTGTTACAACCAAGTAAGTTGATATTGCGTCGCGTATTGATTTATTTATGCGTCCTCTTAAGAAACACCTTTAAATTCAGTGAATAGTATAACTTTACCATACACTTTATGGATGTGAAGTTAGCAGCCGGTTCGTTATTCGATATTCGATATTCAATATCCAACCGGCTGCTAGCAGTCGGTTCGATATTCAAATTTATTTGAAATTGATAAAAAATATTATATTTGATAACATTAAAAGCATGATTTTTATAGTTGAAAGGAGTGAAAAGATACGTAGGAAATCGTTTTATGACCCCTTCAAGTTGTCTTAAACTGTCGTTGTCCTCAAATATAAACCCCTTATCAATGCTTATGTAATTTGCATATTTGTCTTTATGTAATATAGAATTTTATCAATAAAGCGACATCAAAACTGTAATTTCATATCTAATATTTCTTAAAACAAAAACAAAAACCAATCAGTCTAGAAATAATTTAGAAATATAAATAGAAATATATATGGAAAGCCCCAAAAAAAGAAATATACATAGTGAAAACCTACCTGAGACCGCTTAAATGACGGTGAGACCCCCCTGTTCTTTCAATGTCCATAAAATTCGACGAATTCATAGACTCTGTATAAATAAAGATTGTATCAAAAGGATTTCCCAGAATAATATCATCTACGATATCTACGGAGGGCTTAGATTGTCACTTTTCAGCTAAAAATTGTCAAAATTTCAGGACAAAGGGCACAGGGCAATGGTGAGTGCCCCCTGATCTCTCAATCTGCCTAATATTAGGCAGACAGTAAGTTTATAGGTATAAACAAACGTGACTAAAAGGATTTGGGTACACTTCTTGTCTTCTATGTTTACGGAGGGCCCAAAAATCCAGTTGGATATTCAAAATATATAGCGAAAACCTACCTGAGACCGCTTAAATGACGGTGAGACCCCCCTGTTCTTTCAATGTCCATACAATTCGACGAATTCATAGACTCTGTATAAATAAAGATTGTATCAAAAGGATTTTCCAGAATAATGTCATCGTCGATATCTACGGAGGGCTTAGATTGTTACTTTTCAGGTAAAAATTGTCAAAATTTCAGAACAAAGGGCACAGGGCAATGGTGAGAGCCCCCTGATCTCTCATCCTGCCTAATATTAAGAGCCCTCCGTAGATATCGAAGATGACATTATTCTGGGAAATCCTTCTAATACAACCTTTACATATACAGAGTCTATGATTAAGTTGGATTTTATGGACATTGAAAGACCAGGGGGGTCTCACCCTCATTTAAGCGGTCTCAGGTAGGTTTACACTATATATTTTGAATATCCAACTGGCACTTTGGGCGCTCCATAAACATGGAAGACAGGAAGTGAACCCAAATTCCTTTTAGTCACGTTTGTATCTACCTATTAACTAAATGTCTGCATAATATTAGAAAGATTGAGAGATCAGGGGGCTCTCACCATTGCCCTGTGCCCTTTGTCCTAAACTTTTGACAATTTTTAGCTGAAAAGTGACCATCTAAGCCCTCCGTAGATATCGAAGATGACATTATTCTGGGAAATCCTTCTAATACAACCTTTACATATACAGAGTCTATTATTAAGTTGGATTTTATGGACATTGAAAGACCAGGGGGGTCTCACCCTCATTTAAGCGGTCTCAGGTAGGTTTTCACTATATATTTCTTTTTTGGGCTTTCCATAAATATTTCTATTTATATTTCTAAATGTTTCTAGAGTTATAGGTTTTTTTTTGTTTTTCAGAAATATCCTATATAAAAGTATATATTTGAAGTTGTTTTATTGATAAAAATCTATATTACATACAGACAAATATGCAACTTAGATAAGGGTTTATATTCGAGGACAACGAGAATTTAAGACAGCTTGAAGAGGGACAACGAGAATTTAAGACAGCTTGAAGAGGTCATTAAACGATTTCCTACGTATCTTATCAGTCCTCTTAACTATGAAAATCGTGCTTTTAATGTTATCAAGTATTTAATTTTTTTATGATTTTCAACTAAATTTTGAATATCCAACCGACTGCTAGCAGCCTGTTGGATATTGAATATCGAATATCGAATAACGAACCGGCTGCTAACTTCACATACATATACACTTTACTGTTTGTACCGGTATATAACTTGTGAAGATAACAGGTAATATTAGTTTTCATTATTACTTATAATTAATTTACAATTGTCTTATTTTTACATTGTCATTTGTATTTATTCATAGATATAATAAGATGTGGTATGAGTGCCAATGAGACAACTTTCCATCCAAGTCACAATTTTCAAAAGTAAACCATTATAGGGCAAAGTACGGCCTTCAACACGTAGCCTTGGCTCACACTGAACAGCCAGCTATTTATTCATATTTATTCATGTCTACTTTTAACAGACGGGCATCATCCATCAGTTAGCGAATACAATAGTTATCGTACAGCTTTAGATAAAATTAATACATGTATGTCTTATGATTGAGTTAAGCCATTTCAATTGATATTTTATAGTGTGTCTTTCTATGTTGTGATGTTACACTTTTGTTTCAGATAAGGGTGAAGGTTTGGTTCCATTAAAACGTTTAAACCCGCTGCAATTGTTTGCACCTGTCCAAAGTCAGGAATCTGATGTTCAGTAGTTGTCGTTTGTTGATGTGGGTCATAAGTATTTCTCGTTTGTTGATGTGGGTCATAAGTATTTCTCGTTTTTTATATAGATTAGACCGTTGGTTTTCCCGTTTGAATGGTTTTACACTAGTAATTTTTTGGGGACCTTTATAGCTTGCTGTTCGGTGTGAGCCAAGGCTCCGTGTTGAAGACCGTACTTTGACCTATAATGGTTTACTTTTATAAATTTTGACTTGAATGGAGAGTTGTCTCATTGGCACTCATATCACATCTTCTTATATCTATATGTAATGAAAATAAGATTTCAAAATGTTTACCTAATTTTATATTTAAAAGATATTTCATTTCTCATATTTCTTTTTATAAAATGCAAATATGAAACTTTTTAAAAAACACTTGTCTACACAAATGTTTGTTATCAATGATATGATCAAAGTTATGATGGCAATAGTGTACACGCAGTGTAGCTTGAAATTACTCTAGACATGTTACATCTAAAAGTCTCTTATTCAAGTACTTAAATAAAGAACTTACACAATTCATGCATTAGATAAACACTTGAAGACGTTAGCCCGATTGAGTTTAATGATTATATGATTGAAGCAAAAAGATTAGATGGGGTCTTCTTGCAATTTGATCTTATTTCATGCATGGTAAAGCATGATAAATGCACACTATCAAACTACATTTGATGACATCATTGTTTGAAGAATAATGGTTGCAATGTGACATTCTTTTTGGGAAATTTGATATGGTTAAAAAAATCCAAATACAAGTGGCCAAATCTTAAGAATTAAGTAAACATCACACCATTTTCAAAAGAAGTTTAAATCATTTAATATACAAAATAAAACAATAAAAAAAATCGCTGTTTTTGTTTTTTGTTTGTTTATTTTTTAAAGATGGACTCTTGATACTATGGAGTCATTTCCACCACATCTTCTTATATCTATGAATAATATGACTGTGAAGAAAACAAATACTTACAAATAGGATTAGAAAAAACCCTAGTTTTAGTTTTCTATGTTTCCCAAAACTCCCTTCAAAAATTTTTAACTTTTAAAGAAATAAGAAAAAAAAAAAAAAAAATAAGCATTTTTAAATTTTTTTTAACAAGTTTATACTCTAAATTCCAGGGCTGTATACATATGTAGGTAATATATTTATTTGGTTTTAGATGATGGTTATGATAATAATATTACCCCTTGTCATCTTTTGGATAACATATCGATGGTTCAAACATAAGAGGACTATCGCTAACTACAGTAGTCGATATGTGTTCGTAACAGGATGCGACTCTGGATTTGGAAACATGCTGGCAAAAAAACTTGATGGACTTGGATTCAATGTGTTTGCGGGTTGTTTAACACAGGATGGTGAAGAAAAATTAACGCGTGAAACTTCTGAAAAAGTCAGAACAATTCGCATTGATGTTTCCCAAACTGAGAGTATTGAAAATGCATTTACCACTGTTAAGTCATCACTACCTTCAGATACAGGTAAATGTAGTTAATCGATATCAAACCGTTTATTACTATTACACTAAGACACACTAAGGCACACAATGTGTGCAACAAGAGCAACATAATACAATATGAACATAACAAATTGATAAAACAATATTAGAAAAAGAGAAATCAACCCTCTATCACTACAGGTTCAGCATTTGTAAAATAAGTTCCGGATAGCACTATAGAGTAGAATTATTTTTTTAAGAAAACTAAAAAAATTGAGAATGGAAATTGGGAATGTGTCAAAGAGACAACAACCCGACCACAGAACAGACAACAGCAGAAGGCCACCAACAGGTCTTCAATGCAGCGAGAAATTCCCGCACCCGTAGGCGTCCTTCAGCTGGCCCCTAAACAAATATATATACTAGTTCAGTGATAATGAACGCCATACTAAACTCCAAATTGTACACAAGAAACTAAAATTAAAAATAATACAAGACTAACAAAGGCTAGAGGCTCCTGACTTGGGACAGGCGCAAAAATGCGGCGGGGTTAAACATGTTTATGAGATCTCAACCCTCCCCCTATACCTCTAGCCAATGTAGAAAAGTAAACGCATAACAATACGCACATTAAAATTCAGTTCAAGAGAAGTCCGAGTCTGATGTCAGAAGATGTAACCAAAGAAAATAAACAAAATGACAATAATACATAAATAACAACAGACTACTAGCAGTTAACTGACATGACAGCTCCAGACTTCAATTAAACTGATTGAAAGATTATGTCTTCATCATATGAATATCAGGCACAATCCTTCCCGTTAGGGGTTTAGTATCATACCATCATAACATATATGAGAAGAACATAACCCGTGTCACGCCAACAACTGGTTTTTAAATAAATGTGTTTAGTGCCGATGCAAAGACCCTATAGGTGAATCAATATTAACGCCAAAATATGCAATCTTTAATGACCTGACAGCAGTATCGTAACTATATCCCTTCTTAATAAGTCTATTTAAAGGTTTTGTTAGTTTCAGAGGTGAATACTGACATTTTTGTGCTTTATAAAGAATATTTCCATAAAAAATTGGATGTGAAATACCTGAAAGTATAAGAAGTCTGCATGTTGAGCTATATTTACGAATGATGTCCTTATACCGATGATAAAATTTAGTAAATGTTTTGACTAGTTTGTGATATCGAAAACCCTGGTGTAATAATTTTTCAAACATGTTTATGAACTTTGCCTACTTAACCAATATTGAGAATGAGAAGTTATCACTTTGTCACAAGTTGTCATAATAGTATAATGAACTGGACAATAAGAAATGAGTTATATACAAATCAGTATCATGTATTGCATCGTAATTCATCCAACTTTTTACGGCGATCGCATTGCAAATTTACACTTTTGATTAGATGTGACAACACAGGTACGGATCTTAACGTTTTATTTTTGGAAATTTACAAAGTTAGTGTTTTTTTAAGTATTTTGTACTTCCTCATATTGTAATAATTAGTTTAACTGCGTTTTTTTTTTAATGAAAAACTAGTTACTCACTCAAGAAAAGGGAAAATGTAAGTAGGTTTTAATACCAGGGAATACTATACGAGTTAATCGCTGTATGATAAGAAGAATAAGTGAACTCAAAATTAATTGTCCAGATTTGGATGTACATTATGTCCTTTTTGGTTTGGTTTTCTCATCTCTTCAACGTTTGTATTCGGTTTTGGATTTTCAAAAAATCGTGCCTCGAGCTTCATTGAAGAGACATTAATTGTCAAAACGCGCATAGTGTGCAGTAGAATTGTAGGTACCGTTTATGTTATTCTTGTTTTTTTTTCTGTGTATCAAAATTTTAACCTAAAATAGCTATGTTTTTGTATAACAAACAGTACAAAACCCGAGAAGCGTTGCAGAAAATACATCCACAGTACAAGTAGTTAGAAAATTTGTTTATTCAAATAATCCAATGATTTAAATTCTATATTTAATATTTTTAGGTTTATGGGGTGTTGTCAACAATGCTGGAATTGCAGGAAACCAAGGTCCAGTACAATGGTTAACAAGGAAAGACTATCAGGAAGCTTTTGGAATCAATACGTTAGGAATGGTAGAAACTACAAGGATATTTCTGCCTCTAGTTATACAAGAAAAAGGACGTATAATTAACATTACTAGCACGATGGGACGAATTGCTGCTATGCATCCTACGTATATAGTGTCAAAGTTCGCAGCTGAGGGATACTCAGATGTTCTAAGGTGAGACCAGTCAAAATACTCGATGGATATTCATATAAATCAGCTGGTCTCGTTAGGTGAATTAAAGACCTGAGATAATAGTTTACCATTTGATTCAGACCATTCTAGTTTCCCATTCCTAGATTGTGTATACTTTCAACAAAACAACTTGTATTCGATATTAAAACCTCAGTTCTGTTTTTTTTTTATGAAAATAAAGATATATGGTATGATTGCCAATGATACAACTTTCAACAAGAGTTCAGATGACAAAGATATAAACAATACGTACTGGCTGCAACGATGAGAAAGTCCCATCCCGTATAATCCGCTTTAAAAGGTCCCGACATGACAAATATGAAATAAATCAAACGAGAAAACTAACGGTCTAATTTATAACAAATCAATTTACGAAACAACAAATATGACGGACATGCACCAACGACAACCACTGAATTACAGGCTCCTGACTTGAGAAAGGCACATCCAGAATGTGGTTGGTTGAAACATGTTAGTGAGCGCTTAACTCTTCTCATAACCACTGACAGTGGTGGAACAGCACACCATAAGAACAAACTGTACACATCAGTTGCAAATGGCTTAACTCAATAGATTGTTAGGAAGCACACAAACACAAAAAAAAATAAATCATGTTCTCCCAGACTAGATTTACCTGAGCGTTAGTCTTACTTTTCCTTTACTTTTCTAGCCGTTTAGTAACATGCAGTTGTTTTGAATTTGGAACGTTTCACTAAGCTGATAAATTATACTATTTCACCAATACTATTTTCTATGAAAACAAAGTATTGCTTTCAATGTGTTTGTTTTTCGCTGCAGACGTGAGCTATACAAAAGAGGAGTAACAGTTCATATTTTAGAACCGGGATTTTTCCGGACAGATTTAATTGATGTAGAACGTCTTCATACGGGTGCTGATAGCTCCTTTAGGGGAATTTCTTCAAAATTGCAACAGTATTACGGGCAAGTTTACCTGGATGATTGTAAGTGTAACCTTGGTTTTGTGTTCTTTTCACTTGAACTTATTTTTTTTTTAAATGTATAATAAATTAATTCCACATGAAACCAGTCTGCATGTATTAATTGCTGTCCTTTTATTTTCGTTTTATCACGAATAAAATAAAAGGTGTTTTATGATATCTGTTGTGAAATATTTTTGTGCAATTGCAAGGGGTTGTTATCTAATTGGCTTTAGGCAATAGTGTTGCAGCGGAAAACGTGCAAACCACTAAAGAGTTCAGTTAATAATTGGTTTTGTTTTGGAACTAGATATAAATAATCAATAACAAACTGATTTAAGTGGCAAATTATTGACACTCACCTCCTGCGCGCGAGAATAGAACGTCACGAAGGGAAAACCCGAGAGGTTAATTTTTTTTATAACATTGTGAATTTCTTGAATATCATTCATATATACAAAATACCTTATCATTCATATATACAAATAAGCTTACACACACATATATATATATATAGGACTCTAAAGTGCGATAGTACTCTAAAGTGCGATGGTCACGCTTAAGTGCGATGGTCTACGCTAAAGTGCGATGGTGTCTCACGCTAAAGTGCGATGGTTGTGTGTTTGCTAAAGTACGATGGTGTCTCACGCGAAGGTGCGATGGTTGTGTGTTTGCTAAAGTACGATGGTATATCACGCTAAAGTGCGATGGACCTATAGGGTACGGTTCGACGGCTTAAAACGTTAAAGTACATGGATGTTAAAAAATAGTCTTTTTTTTGCAAAAGCTAGTAGGCTAAGGTATAACATATGTGGTAGACTTTATAATTTACCGATAGGCTAAGGTATAACATATGTGATAGACTTTATAATTTACCGGTAGGCTAAGGTATAACATATGTGATAACCTTTATAATTTACCGATAGGCTAAGGTATAACATATGTGATAGAATTTATAATTTACCAGTAGGCTAAGGTATAACATATGTGATAGACTTTGTAATTTACCGGTAGGCTTAAGTGATTGTTTCTAAATCTAGAAGACCAACTACGTAATAATTGCTATAACGGTAATATAGGTGTCACAAAATACTATATTTCCTGTAAATGTAACAATTGGGGCGTATTAAATATTTGGATAATTGGCGTAGCTTGCCGTTCACACTTTCTATCAATAATGTGAACAACTCCCCTTACAGTCGTCATTGTAAATTACAAGTACAAAATTCGTTCATTGTCGGAATAAGTGACATTTATTAGTACAAGCTTTAATATCAAGGCGAGAGAAAGGCGATGTTCGCCGAGCTTTTTTCTCCTTTTTCGAAGCGAGTACACATACATGTTATATTTTCCTACAATGTACAAACTAATGTTTTAGCCGCAAATTTATAATTTACTTTTGAAAACATGTACCTTTTTTTTACCGACGTTACTTTTCAATCAAATCGACAATATTTTAACGGGGACCGCAAAGTAAGCTTCAACGTAAAAAAATATTTAAATGTACCCGTTCGCCTCCAATGGAAGCAGGATACCTATGCGTATACTATTTTGTATCTTTATAGTAAAATGGTTGACTTCCAGCACCCGAAAAGAAAAACACATTTGCTTCAGCCGAAAAAGCACGGTTAGGTCTAAAATTAAGTCATGGACATTTGGTTTAAAAGTTGTTTTAAAACCAAATATTCTTAATCTATCTTCCGGCATGTTCATTTTTGGTTTGTATAAACGACTGTTAACGTCATAATCCAACTACGTTTCTTACGTCTATACTTTCGCGGACCATCGGACTTTAGCGTATGGAGGCATCGCACTTTAGCGCAGACCATCACACTTTAGCGTGACCATCGTACTTAGCGTCCCCATCGCACGCAGCGCCTGCATACGGAGTATATATCTCCCAATTGATACGATATTCCCGGGCTTGTATTTCCTATCATGATTTCCTTGAAAGAGGATTGCTGCTCACAAGGAAGCTATTAAACCAAGAGTTCCAAATGGTGAAGTTGAAGTCATCCCTTCGTAAATTTTACGGACGCCATCACGAGTTGGTTGACCGTTATGGAATAACCGTCTCACAGATGATATCGGATATGTTCCTTATGTCGTAACTACAATACCCTTCCCTTTTCACGAATGTGACCTACCGAATAAGACTACTTACCGGATTTGTAATAACATAAGCAACACGACGGGTGCCACATGTGGAGCAGGATCTGCTTACCCTTCCGGAGCACCTGAGATCACCCCCAGTTTTTGGTGGGGTTCGTGTTGCTTAGTCTTTAGTTTTCTATGTTGTGTCATCTGTACTATTATTTGTCTGTTTGCCTTTTTTATTTTTTGCCATGGCGTTGTCAGTTTGTTTTCGATCGATGAGTTTGACTGTCCCTCTGGTATCTTTCGTCCCTCTTTTAGAATCCTGCATATGATAAAAGAGATGATTTTTCATTTCCTATCGTTAATTATCCATTTTTAGATGGTGACGTTCCCTTGTCACCATCTTACGGTGTTTATATATCTCAACTTGTACGATTCGCTCGTGTATGTAACAATGTTTTAGATTTTAACGAGAGAAATTTATGTATTACTGAAAAATTATTACACCAGGGTTTTCGATATCACAAACTAGTCAAAACATTTACTAAATTTTATCATCGGTATAAGGACATCATTCGTAAATATAGCTCAACATGCAGACTTCTTATACGTTCAGGTATTTCACATCCAATTTTTTATGGAAATATTCTTTATAAAGCACAAAAATGTCAGTATTCACCTCTGAAGCTAACAAAACCTTTAAATAGACTTATTAAGAAGGGATATAGTTACGATACTGTTGTCAGGTCATTAAAAATTGCATATTTTGGCGTTAATATTGATTCACTTATAGGGTCTTTGCATCGGCACTAAACACATTTATTTAAAAACCAGTTGTTGGCATGACACGGGTTATTTTCTTCTCATATATGTTATGATGGTATGATACTAAACCCCTAACGGGAAGAATTGTGCCTGATATTCATATGATGAAGACATAATCTTTCAATCAGTTTAATTGAAGTCTGGAGCTGGCATGTCAGTTAACTGCTAGTAGTCTGTTGTTATTTATGTATTATTGTCATTTTGTTTATTTTCTTTGGTTACATCTTCTGACATCAGACTCGGACTTCTCTTGAACTGAATTTTAATGTGCGTATTGTTATGCGTTTACTTTTCTACATTGGCTAGAGGTATAGGGGGAGGGTTGAGATCTCATAAACATGTTTAACCCCGCCGCATTTTTGCGCCTGTCCCAAGTCAGGAGCCTCTAGCCTTTGTTAGTCTTGTATTATTTTTGATTTTAGTTTCTTGTGTACAATTTGGAGTTTAGTATGGCGTTCATTATCACTGAACTAGTACATATATTTGTTTAGGGGCCAGCTGAAGGACGCCTCCGGGTGCGGGAATTTCTCGCTGCATTGAAGACCTGTTGGTGACCTTCTGCTGTTGTCTGTTCTATGGTCGGGTTGTTGTCTCTTTGACACATTCCCCATTTCCATTCTCAATTTTATATATACATATTTTTATTTTTATTTTTATTTTGATGAAAATACATATCATAACCATATCATTTATTTTTTCAGGGAAAGATATCATCAGAAAAATAGTTACAAATTTAGGATCACCACATATACATTTGGTTGTAGATGCATATGTACACGCTTTAACGTCAAAATACCCTAAGTACCGCTACTTGGTGGGTAATGATGCGAACTATATCTTCAGAATTCTATGGAATTTACCAGAATGGATATCTGACTATTTACTTACAAGAACGGCAATATTACCTCAAGCAGAACGGAATTCATAATCAGGAAATGCTGAACTTTTGCTCTACATCTTTTTATCTATTTCCATCTATATGACTTGAAAGTAATAATAAAGCCGTTCGTTTCATAATCTTGTCACCAAGTTGTTATACGTATTTTTGTAATTTTAAAAATTTATAATAATAAAAGTAGTAGTCTTATACACGAGTAATTAGGAGTAATTAGGAGGAAACAGGATGAGGTCAACCAAAGTTCAAATAAGTGACATTCCAACAATTATCAAAATGATGTCATCAGGAATGTTGTAACCTTGACCATAGGAATGTGTGGAATGTTTGTATTTTGATTTTACATATATACAGTAAACATTGGTATACCTTATATAGTATTGAAACTAATATGTTGTTTCGATAGCTTGTAAATGGCTTGGAAAAAGAAAAGATGATTAAAACAGATTAACATTTATTCGCAGCTAACATATGTGTTTCAAGTGTCTTAATTATTTTTTAAGTAAACATCATGTTCTCAATAAACTATATATATATATATGTTGCCTGCTCTATGGTCGGGTTGTTGTCTCTTTGACACATTCCCCATTTCCATTCTCAATTTTATATATATATTAAAAGACATAACCTGAGCATCTATTCATTATTGTTGTAAAAACAATATATGAAACATAAATATATATAACTTGATACATTGTTTAAAAATGTGTTACCTGAGATCTTGTTTCTGATTAATTAAATATATGACTTGAGAAAATTATGCAATGTATTGTTGTAATGCATCAATATATAAAAACATATAACCTGATATATCATTCAAATAAAGGCAACAGTAGTATACCGCTGTTCGAAACTCATAAATCGATAGAGATAAATCGATAGAGACAAAAAAAAATATTTGTTACCTGAGATAGTTTTGATAAAAAGAAATACATCAGTCAAGGAAAATTATGTGAATGCTATTATGAAAATAATGACTTGAGGAAAATTATGCCATGAATACAACAATGTATTTACACTATATTTTGGCACTTTAATATGACATGATGTAAAAAAAGACTATAAAAAACAACCTCAACAATATACATACATATGATTAAATCTTTAACACCATGTAAAAATATCAGCAAATTGAAAATAACTATGTGGCCTGAGAGAAAATATACTGAGCACACTTAAATGAATATATATTAAACTTTGAACTGATATCAAGTATAAAATAAGTTGCCTCCATTTTTTTTCTTGCAAAAAAGTTTCTAAATAAAGTAAAATAGACTATAAAAAACAACATCAACAATATACAAACATACATATGATCAAATCTTCAACACTATGTAAAATAGATCAGTTAATTGAAAAAAAAACTATGTGACCTGAGAGATAATATATTGAGCTCACTTTATAAAAGAATATATAAAACTTTGAACTGATAAACACCATCTATCATAATTATAATGCCCGTCCATGTAGTTAACCTATGTCGAGACTGAAGGTGTGACATGTCACTTAAAATTGATATATGTAAAAACACGACACATACACAAATTTCATATGAAAGAAAAGACCGCGAAAACCTTTTTTTAGAACTGGCACGAATATATGTGGAATAAAAGTGGGAAATGGTAAGTTTTTTATATGTATTGATAGTTAAGCTTTAACTTTACATGTTAAGTATGTTAAGGTATCTTTCATATAAAAAATCAGTTATATTAAAAAATAAAACAATATATTTAGAAAACAATTGACATAAATAATTGTTTAAAGATGGGAACTTTTGAAACTTAATGATTTTATATGTATTGATTAAAACCAGATTTTTAACATGCATATTGAAACATTAAGGAACTCTCAAAAAGAATCCATAAGATTGATAAACAAACTCCACATACAAAATTTACACATACAAAAAACTTGACTACAAGTTTAGTCTTATAACTGTTTTTATTTGTCTTTGAGAACAAAGTAAAATCAGAAAAAATACTGAACTCCGAGGAAAATTCAAAAAGGAAAGTCTCTTATCAAATGGCAAAATCAAAAGCTCAAACACATCAAACGAATGGATAACAACTGCCATATTCCTGACTTGGTACAGGCATTTTCTTATGTAGAAAATGGTGGTTTGAACCTGGTTTTATAGCTAGCTAAACCTCTCTTTTATATGACAGTCGCATCAAATTCCAAACGACCTTTTCTGTAGTGGCATTACATTGACATCTGGTATTGGTTGACTCTGAAGGGGAAAATATTTATATGGGCAGATGAGGTCAGTCTGAAACATAAAATTGTAAAAATTTGGAATTTTATGGTTAAAAAACAGTTCACTTAATAAAAATATGTTTTTTTGATACAGTCATGTCAAGAATGTTTGATAAATATATTGATGAATGGAAAAGCATTGTTAATTCATCCTCTTCTTGACGGGGAAATGAGCGTGATAAGTTGAGAACATAAACTATTTTTTAAGCAGGATTATGTCGTTGAAAACTACTGCAAACTGTTGATGCCTTTTAGTGAAAGAAGTGCCTTTGCAAAATTTAGATGTGGGGTGGCTCTTATTAGGCTGGAAACTGGAAGGTATGAAAACCTGCCGCTGAAAGTGAGATGTTGTTTTAATTGTTTTAATACTGTTGAAGATGAATATCATGTTGTGTTACATTGTCCTGTTTATAATGATCTAAGACAAGTTCTTTATACTGAATCTCTTAAAATTGATGAACATTTTAATAGTTTTGCAGATTATCAGAAAATGGTATTTTTATTTTCGAATCAATATATTATAAGATTATGTGCCAAAACCTGTAATTTTATTCTGAAAAGACGCCGAGAAGTTTTATATTGTAAATTATAATTGAATAATTATGTTGTATAATTTTTCCACTCGTGTTTAAAATCGTCTCTCATAAATCTGTTCAGATTGCCTTATGTATTCTCAATGTATCTTTCATAAATGTATTGTGTAATTTTATACATAAGATGAGACGTAAATATAATATTGAATTTAATTTAATTTAATCAAACATGCAGGTCAAATGAAATATTATTTCATACAAAAAAAATCTAAAAGTGTTGATTAAAGGACAAACAAAATATAAAATATAAAACCCCCTCTTGACCCTCATATAAAGCTCCATTTTAATTAATGGTTTTTGAAGACCTTGCTTTACTTTTTACATCAATAGAATGTTAAATGTGTGTAAAACGTTTTTCTTAGTTTAATATGTTTCTTTCTTTCTGTTAAATATTCAATTTTGATGCAAAACCAAACCATGATCTCATTGACTAGTAATCTGAATGATTTTTTTTTACATTCCAAGTATTGAAGAAGATGCTTTATCCGTTTCACAGATGATATCGGATATGTTCCTTATGTGGTAACTACAATCCCGGTCCCTTTATTCGAATATGACCTACCGAATTCGACTATTTACCGGGTTTGTAATAACATAAGCAACACGACGGTTGCCACATTTGGAGCAGAATCTGCTTACCTTTCCGGAGCACCTGAGATCACTCCCAGTTTTTGGTGGGGTTCGTGTTGCTTAGTCTTTAGTTTTCTTTGTTGTGTCTTGTGTAGTATTAATTGTCTGTTTGACTTTTTTTCTTTTTCAGCCATGGCGTTATCAGTTTGTCAAACCAAAAAAAAAAAAAAAAAATACATAATGGATTTCTACTTTTTTATAGAAAATTGTAGAAATGTATATAATTGTAGAATTATATGCCCGAAATACAGCCTCGACAATTTTCCATTTCAAGTTTTGTTCCAAAACTAGAATGCTGACTTTCTATCTGATATGTTTTGATGTTCTGATATTCATGTGGCTAGGCTGATGTCAAGTTTTATTAATCGTTTGTAAACTATGAATTCAGAGAAAAGTAGATTAACATTAAACAAAATGTATTGATGGTCCTGGTCCTGGTGTGTTTCAAGCAATTTAAATGTGATGTGCTTAATGATGAACATACAAAGATGAAGTTCTTCATAAAATTTTCACAAAATCTGTATAAATATAACTTCGGAATGATTGTATTGCCTGATTTATTTCACATCTTACTTCTGAAGGATAACGAGCGGTTCAAATATTACTTTCTTAGAATAACTTTTGAGCAAGTATCTATTGCAAAGTCACAAACTTTGCCTCAGACCATATTGTATGGAAGAACAGTATAAAACCAGAGTTCTTTCCATTCAGACGTCTTGTATCAAGACATCTAAGCATAAAAATGAACAAAATAAATTTCTACTTCTATGTCATCTGTATGCATTTTTATAAGTAAATATGTGCTATCGCTTTAATTGACCCACAGTTATTTCCGGCGTTATAAGGCTTAAGATAATTTTATACTTATTTAATATGCATTTTGTACTTTTTTTTCTTTCTGAAGTACATTTAATATATGTAGAAGGATTATTTTCAACAAAATACTTCATAAATTTTTATATGTGCAAATTATTTTCAGTTTTATTACATTTCTTCTATTATTTGATAAACTCTTATTTCAGGTGCAGACTCATAAAGGTTAATTGACTTTGGAATAACTTTAAGAAATCATATACATCAAATGATAATTTTTCCACTCTGTTTTCTATTGTTACATTGAATATGTGATCAATAAATGGTAGCTTATGTTTAGAACATTTTAAAACTTATTTATCAAAAAAATATTTTTCTTTTCTTATAATTGAACAGATACTAACATTGTTATCTCCATTATCTAAAAAAAAGACAATAGTCCTTCTTTTGACTGCAATGTTGTACCAGTATTAAAAAACCAATGAACTTTGAAGTTAAGGATTTCTTAGGATCAATTGTATTTCTTATGTTATATTTTAGATATCTGTATAGTATGTCAAGCTCTAAATCTTTTCGGCATTTATTAAGAATGCCAATATGCCTTCTTTTAATAAGAAATCGTTTAGATAGTATTTTAACTTGGTACCTCAACTATATTACTTAAGCTATGAGCAAAACAAAATGTTCAGCTATTGTTATTTTCATAGACAGGAACAAACAAAAAATATGCTTTCTATCCTTCAGATAGTCTAAGGATCTTTTAGTCAAAATTTGGTTGAAATTGGATCTGACAAGTGGATTTCGAAGAAATGATTTCAAAAAGTTTATGACCACTTCAACAAACAATAAGTTATAGCAACAGCTCACGTGCCTAGTATGGTCAGGCAAGCTAAAAGATAAAAGTAAACAGTAACCACTATAAAAAGAAATCAGGTTTTGGCTGATTAAATTTAGAAAAAAAAGAAAACTTTTAAACAAAACATTAATGGAAAACTAATGTCTAATAAACCCTAATGTTACTAAGGCATTATATTACGGTATTTGATTTGGCAATCGACAAAGCAATACCCAGGATATTCACTTATCTTCAATCTACATAAAACCTACAGAAACTGCTATCTATTTTTTTATGTCAACAAAAAAACATTTATAAAATAAAATATATAATATATACATTTTAAGACATCTTCTTAAAATCAGTAAGTTCAGAAAGAAAGAAAAAGCCTCAAAGATTCTTACATGAAAA